CCCCCCCCTCGGCCCACCATCTACTTCATACAGAGGGGCGCGCGGAGGAAGGAGGGAGGTAGGAGGTGGGGTTTGGAAAGGAATAGCGGCGTGCGATGCGATGAGCGAGAGGGATAACTGTTCTGTATTAGGTGGTGAAATGACGCCTATCGTGGTGCCGGTCGGTGCACTGTTGTAACTTTGATTTTTTTTTTGTTGTTGTTTGTGTTTTTGTCCGCTCGGTATTTGGTACTTTGAGGGGTTTTGTCCAATGCGCCACGTCACTCCTCTCAGTGGGGGGGGGCCCGCTGGTGTTGGGGGTGTTCTGGTCTGCTGCTTCTCGGACGGCTTTCCTCCTTATGCGGTGGGGGGGAGGGAGGGGGATGGGCGGCACATATAGACGCATTGTCGTGGTTGCGTTGGTTTTTTTTTTTTTTCTCTTTTTTTATTTTTCTCTTCTCTTCTCTATTTCCTCTTCGTTACCCTCTTCCGCTATTTTATGTCTGCTGAAGGCTCGTCGTTCTTTTCGTGTGTGTGTGTGTTTTTTTTTCTTCTTTTTTTTTTCCGTTGGGACGATTTTTCATCTTCCTGCGTCACCTATGCCCGCCCGTATTCAGACGCCAGTCCCCTACGCCTGCCGTGAAGTCTGCGCCGACCAAGGGGATAGCCACATACTTACACGCATGTATTCCACTCGCGTTGCGTTTGGCTCACGCCATTCTCTCCGTCATTTTTTTTTTGTTTCGTTCTTTGTTTTCCATGGCCGCATGATGGAACTCCGTGCAGCCCCCTGCTTGAGGAAGGAGGGGGTGGTTGCGCGCTTCTGCATGCCAAGACGCCAATGTATTGTGTTCATTGTAGGTGTTTGTCGTCGGTGTTATTACCGGTGTTGCTGCTCCTTGTCTGCCATGTTGGTTGGTTGGCTTCTCCTACCTCTGACCTCTCTCCTCCTCCTCCTCCTCTTTATTTGGTGTTTGGTCGGCTTCACCCGCGCTCGCCAACACCACACAACACAACGGTTGAGAACTGTGGTGTAGGAAGCGAAGTTAGTAAGTCGCACGGCAGACACGCACACGCATACCACTCACGCAAATGGAGGCAGGACGCGAATACTCCGCGGAGCTCGTAAACAGCACCTTGGAGCCGCCCTCGGTGCCAAAGTCGCGTGGCCCGTCGCTCTCCAGCACACGGCGAGCGCAACCAGGCCCGCCGCGAACACCACCGAGGCGGTCATGCTCGCGTAGCCCCGGGCGGCTGCTGGGTGCCGGTCCCCACTACGCGGGCGAGGCGGGCACAACGATAACTGCACTGCGCGCTGCGCCAGCTTCAGCTCCAACTCCAGCAGCAAAAAGTGCAGTAATGACAGCAGTTGTCGCAGAAAAGGCAGCAGTAGGATCAGTGGCGACGCCTTTCATGCCTGCATCTCAGGGCAGCGAGGTGGCGCCAGGCAAGCAGAACAATGACCATATCTCCATGCCAGCGTCATCGGTGGACTTCGAGGTCATGCGTGAAGACTCTTCGCTGTACGCTAACCGATCAAGCGTCCAATTTGAAGTGATGACCGCCTCCCGAGTGGCGAGCAAGATCCGCCCGTCTCCCTCCATGCCCCGGGGCGAGAAACTGCAGCACTCACCCGAGGGGGTCGGGGTGCTGCAGCCACCAATGCCACCATCAAACTTTGGTCACTCTGTCAATGGCACGGCGGGGAACTATTCCGCAGCACGCACTTCGTCTAGCGTGTACTTTGAGGTAATTGGTGATGCCACCATGTGCGACGATGATGCAGAGAGCTTACCAGCAGCGAGACCTCCCCCCCAACCGCATCCAGCGGTTAGGCAAACGCCCTCGTCGCGGTTTGGTGAGACGGCGGTGAGGCTAAAGTATGAGGAACAGCAGCCCCTTGCTGCCTTTGCTGGTCCTGCTGCCGGTATTGATCATGATGACCGCGCCCCACCTTTGGTTTCGGGAAAAAAGAGCAGCGTTCAGCCTAATGCAAATAGGGAAGCGAACCGAGCACTTGGCGGCAAGTCAAGGGCACCAGCAAAAACAGCAGTGCCCCAGGCGGTAATATCGCTAACGCCGCCGCCGGTTTTGCAGCCGCCCGTACGCCCCTTCCTTAGTGAGGTGGGTTCGTGGATGGCGCTTATTAACAACGTTGAGGACATGAAGCACCATAAGCGGTACATGCGTGGGTTGGAAGGGGCCCTTCGTGGCACCCAGCGTGACGTTGAGGTGTTTGTGGAAGAGGAGGTGTCCGCCGACAACGACCTCCGCGCCGCCAAAAGACAGTTCGTCGAGAGCATTGACGAGGCCGAACGCCTGCGGGAGGAGGCGCGTAGAAAAAAACTGAGCGCCCACGACGTAAACGCCGAACAGGTTAAAAAGGCGAAGGAGGAGCAGGAAGCGGAGGAGGAAAAATTCGCTGAGGAACTTGAAGCGTGGCGTATCGAGAAGGGCGATCTCCTCGCCCAAAAAGCGCTGCTGCTGCAGAGGCGTAGTGAACTGCAGCACCATCTGCGGCGCGGCACGAACATCAAGAACATCGCGGGTGTGGCGGGCCCGTCGCGTGCCTCTCAGGAGCTTCTCGGCGAGGCGGTGTCACCAGCCGACGATCGCGAAATCGTTCATATGCGACTTGAGTTGAAGGAGGCCCGCGTGCAGTTCATGAAGCACGTGGACACCCACCGCGTACTTAAGGAGGCCCAGCAGAATAGCCAGCGGGACTTTGAGGACGAGTACGCGACGCTGTGCCATGCGGCGGCGGCGGCGAAGAGCGAGGCGGAGAGTCGGCGCAGTGCGCTGCAGGACACGGTGCGGGAGTCGGAGCGGCTGCGCAACGCCCACCGCAGCGAGGGCGACGCGTCA